ATTTCGTTTCATTTTCATTTTAATGTATTATTCCTTGTTTTTAGTAGATTTTTAAATTTGTTGGTAAAATTATATTTATAGATAATATATATGTATATATATATATATATATGATGTGGAAATCCATTAAACTCATTGGAGTGTTATAGAGTGTGGGTATAAAATAATAGAGTTATATGGTGAATGGAATGTTGATGTGGCAGTCCATAACACTCTGGTAGAATGTCATGTACCGGAGATGTCCTTAGAAAAAAGGACTCAACAAATAGAAAAATGCAAACTAAAGGTCTCAAATGACTGAATAAGTACTTATTTTGATTTTGGGACTAAAGTAATTAAAAAAGTGAACCATAAGGACTACATTTGTAATTTACTCAATCTTTAATGTATTGACGGTGCATTCACCTCCGCCGCCAACACCCACCTAGTGCTACCACCTCCTCCGCCAGTACCGACGTCATGGTCATGGTGTTTGACGTATCCACCGTCATTGATAACTTCTAGTGATCCTCTGTTAATCGAAGAGTTATGAGGGTGATGGTCAAACCCCAAAACAAATTTCAAAGATCCACCATTTATTGATGGTGATCATCAAATCCGTAAACAAATCAAATCCGTAAACATATATACAAACACAGAAACTCTTCTACATTAGGGTTCTCGGTCGCAACTGGTCAACTACTCAACGTTACGTCCCAAATGAGACGCTGGAGTAGTAATTGCACGTTCTGTAATCTGGTTGTGGACTTGTGGCGGTGGCAGCAGGATTCGAGTTCTTGCTATTCTTTTCTTGTACACATATCGTCCTGGTGGCGGCAATGGGAATGCGGTGGTGAAGAGAGAATCCTGTGTTGGGCAAAATTCATTACAAATCTGATCAGGGTAAAACAACGGATGTGAAGAGAGTAAAGATGAAAAAGATAATAATGTCTTGATTTTTGACCAGTCTCACCATCTATGCCATTTGAGACTGAAAGCTTAGTAGATCTGGTGTTCTTTTTGGAAGGAGCACATAGTCCTGAAAGCATGGAAGTTTGTGCAAGTTGGTTTTCTCTTGCCATCGAAGAAGATGACATACAACACATCTGCTTCAAATTACCAGGAATATGGTAAATTTGGAGCGTTAGATTATCCTGTTCATAATAACAACTCATCAAAACTACACACAGCTTATAAGCATTTTTGTTGCATCTTAGTTGACATATTTTGCTGCTTATGTCTGCACTTAATGCTTTCATCCACAGTGATATTTGCAAGTTTGCACAAGGAATAACACAGTGATATTTGGAGCTAATATCATGATCATGTATGAATAGGGGTTGCTGTGGCAATTATGCCTGTGATATTAGAATCCACGGAAATACAAAAAATAGGTATTTATGCTTTGTGTCGTAAATTCCTTTCCAAAAGGCATAATCAACCATATCTTACAGGAAAACATGGTACTGTCACAAATTATTAGTGGTCATGTCCTACAACTTTGAACATATGCCACAGAAAATATAAGTTACTTTAAAGCCTACGATGCCTTCATACCACCTTTCTCATTGAAGTTCACATGACCTCATTTGGAAAATCATCTTTTTGCAAGTGAATATATAGAATAGTTGATGTGATATAACATTTTGATCAAGTTTAGTGTAAGAGAGTAATTTTCTGTTCATGTAAATAATGTTCCAAGAAACACAACATGTTAATTACGATAAATTTGATTAGTTTGTTGTATCATGTCAACAAGATGATAATTGTGTTAGATATTTCTGTATCATTTTCCAAAGCTATTCTTATTCTCTCTCTCTCTCTCTCCCCCCCCCCCCCCTTTTCTCTTGTTCTCTCTGTTTTTCTTTTTCCAGTAAAGCTCAAACTCTAGTTAAGGTAAACCATAACTTTAGAATTTATCCTTTTCCCCAACAGATGATGGTGGGTGGGGGTAGGAAACCTTATTGGGTGAATGCAAATGCAAGTGCAAGGTTACTTCATTGATGACCAAAATAAATGACAAATGATAGATTTAGCATCAAGTTTTTGGAAGAAAAAGCCAAGCTTTAGAGTCAGTTGGTCATATTTAGAAAAGTTATTGCGACTTTTGTGGATAAAGATACACATAAAGAGAAAATGGTACATTTGTTTGAAGAAGGGGCATATATGATCCTTTTGTTTTCACACTTGGTGTTTTAACTAAATTATAGTATGCATCTTTTCCTGGAGCATTTACTTTTTTTTGGGGGGACATTAGAACTAATTAATGCTCCAATAACTCATTTTCTTGGTATAGTGGTTTATGCTATCAGGCAATTGTTGTTATATTCAGGCAAATGTTGAGTTCAAGATATTTCTAATTTATTGGATATTCTATGTTATTGTTGGTGTTGACCTAATTTGCAAACAATCTTGGGTATTGAACCATCAAAAACAGGAGTTTTAATGTTCAAGGGTTATGAGCATACTGTTGATAATTTGAGTTCAATTCAAATCAACTTTAGAGGTATACCAGGTGCTATTACATGTGACGATCCATGGTTGAAGGTAGGTTCAATTGGATTTATAGATTTTAAGGGTCCTTGTGAACTAATGATTGTTTAAAACTTATTTACAGCGAAAGACTAGAGAAAGCTACATACGAACTTGAGACTGCTTTAACCAAATAGTTGCAAAGCTATATCTATGAGATATCTTACAGTAAATTTTCTAGGATAATGGACCTCAAAGTTGTACTAAAACGTGCCTTGAAATTGTAACATTCTATTAAGTCGCAAATTTGCAATGCTGGATTATTGATTGTGGTTCATATTTAACACATATTAAAGATACCTCATAAATGTCCAAGATGCTACATAATGCCTATATCTCTCTCACATCTTAGAAGTTCTGATGAGAACCCTCCAATTTTGCCAAAAGAATGACCAAGCACTATATACCACCCCACAAACTTCCACCAAAACCAAGAATCATTGATCTTATAAAGGACTGTCACTCTCACTTGTTCACTCTACAAGGGCAACAACACTTGCTCCTCTCTCTCTCAAACCTCTATCTTTAATTTGACCTTTTTGTGTTTGAATTGAAGATGGCATTAGAGCTGGAGGAGAAGAACAGAGTTGAAATTCGGGTAGATGCTAAAGAGATGAAGTGGGTTTGTGATTCATCTCTGGATCATAAAGGGAGAGTTCCTCTTCGATCTTCAACTGGTACTTGGAAAGCGGCATTCTTCATCATTGGTGAGCACTTTTATGTATTTTAATGACTATCTATATGCATGCAAACACTTGTGCTTGCATGTAAATCGTCTCTTTCCCACGTCCGGTTCATAATTTGTTCTCTTATCACTTATATGTGCATTAGTTTTTCTGGTAACGGAAGTGAGTGCTCTGATAAAAGAATGGGTATTTTCTACATCTCCTTCGTTCATTTTATCATTGATTAGACATTTTTATTAAATAATGTATAAATAGTGGATGTTTTAATTTTTAAGTTTGTTATAACCATCAAATTCTTCTTATTTGATAAAAAAAATGTATTATCAGTTACATATTAATATATTATGTAGAAATTGGGATGACGTCCAAAAATAGACGTCACCCTATCCACTTAAAATCAAATACGAACATAGGCAGTTTCCCGGATATCTATATATGGTCCTTAGCCCATATATACTTCACTAAGATCATGAGGGCTACCAATATGAAATAATATGCAAGTTTTGATACATAAACACGGGTCATTAGTACAATATGTTTGACAAATTTCTTGGTCTTTTCTTTATGGGGGTAAGCAATTGAGTTTAGTGAGAGGCTAAGCTACTTTGCAATAGCAACAAATCTCATCACATACCTCACAGAAGTGATGCATGAAGACCTGACAACAGCAGCCAAGAACGTCAACCGCTGGGCAGGAGTTACAACTATCATGCCTTTGCTTGGTGGTTTCCTTGCTGATGCCTATGTTGGCAGATTCTTCATGATCTTGCTTTCCTCCTCCATCTATCTCATGGTACAACATCCCAAAGTTCACTTTACAATTCAAATGACTTGCATTTGAACGATAAAAGTTGATCTTCTTGTTATGATTCTAGGGTTTAGGAATACTTACAATGTCTCAGTTTGTACCAAGCTTGAAGCCATGTGGAGTTAGGAGGTGCATCCATCCAAGAAGAGTTCATGAACTGATCTTCTTCATAGGAATATACTTGATCTCTTTGGGAACAGGTGGCCACAAACCGTCGTTAGAAAGCTTTGGAGCAGACCAGTTTGACGATGATAACTTGGAAGAGAGGAAGGGGAAGATGTCATTTTTCAACTGGTGGAATGCAGCGTTGTGCGGTGGGCTTGTTCTGGGAGTAACAGTGGTGGCTTATGTGCAAGATAACTTCAACTGGGGATTTGCAAACCTCATTCTTACTGTTACTATGGTCATAACCACCATTATATTCACTCTGGGGAAGCCGTTTTATCGGTATCATGTGCCCCAAGGCAGCCCACTAACACCAATACTACAGGTTCTTGTTGCAGCCATGATGAAGAGAAAGCTAACTTATCCTTCGAGCCCAGACTTATTGCATGAAGCCCCAAGTACTCGAAGAAGATTACTGTGCCATACAAATAAACTAAGGTAAAATCCAGCTCAAACCTTTACTATAATCATGGGAAATCCTGGTGACTACTTTTTAATATATCAACAATCCAGAGAGGTAGACACAGAGGAGGCGTGTCATGCCCCGCATCTATATCTGTCTCTCTGCATAATGTTGTAAAGAAAGCCAAAGGTCTCCCATGTTGTAGACAAGGTGAAGCCAAAGGAAAGAATGACATCTTTACACATTTTGATCTGCAGATTTCTTGATAAGGCATGTATCATTGAAGATAATGACATGTCAGAAGGGAAGAAACGGTCCCCTTGGAAACTATCGACAGTAACTGATGTTGAAGAAGCAAAACTCATAGTAAACATGGTTCCCATATGGCTGACCTCTTTACAGTTTGGGGTATGTATAGCACAATCTGCGACTTTCTTCCTCAAACAAAGCAGCACAATGAATAGAATGATGGGTAAAAATTTTGAGATCCCACCAGCAAGTATTCACGCTCTTTCTGCCATTGGAATGTTGCTGTGTGTCATATGCTATGAAAAAATCATAACCCCGACACTAAGGAGAATAACGGGCAATGAAAGAGCCATCCCGATCCTCCAAAGAGTTGGGATTGGGATGATCATTTCTATTTTAGGTATGGTAATTGCAGCAGTGGTGGAGAAGCAGAGGTTGATCGTTGCAGGGAAAGAGAAAGGAGGTAAAGCAAGGTTTCTTTCGATGAGCGTGTTTTGGCTAGCGCCTCAGTACTTGATTCTGGGCATAGGAGACGGGTTTACTCTTGTGGGGTTGCAAGAGTATTTTTATGACCAAGTTCCTGACTCCATGAGAAGCTTAGGCATAGCTTTGTATTTAAGTGTGATTGGTGTTGGAAGCTTCTTGAGCAGTTTTATGATAAGTGTTGTAGACCATGTTACTGGGAATATTGGGACAAGTTGGTTTGGGAAGGACTTAAATAGCAGCAGGTTGGACAAGTTCTACTGGCTGTTGGCAGCTCTCAATGGGTTCAACTTTGGCATCTACGTCTTACTGGCAAACAGGCATTCTTACAAGAATTTGCAGAGAAATGTTAGTTAACCTGTATATGATAAGCCACTGGCTTCATGTCATGTTATTACTTTCTTGGAGTTTAAGACTGAAATGTGATGTTGGTGATCTTAGAAGCACCAAAATGAAAATTAATCTAAAGAAATCAATATACAAGTATTTATGATGATGATGATGATGATGATGATACCATACACTCCAATCTCATGGATCACTACCTTATATGTGTATACTTGATATGTGATCAAATATGTGTGTAATTATTTATGTGAGATGAAAGATTGATGCAAAAACCCTGCCTATTGACATCCCAATAAAATGTAACATCATGATTAAGACCCACCTATTTCCTGAGTTTAAAGTTCAAACGTTCAGCACCCGTATTGTCCGTCCGGGCAGAAAAACAAGATTTCTTGGAGTACTAAATTTACCAAACTAAATATGTACAAAAAATACTACTAGTTAATAACAAGGAAAAGAGAAATATGCTCTTTTCAAAGTCCATGTTCTTCCACTCAGATTGTCTTCCAATATGCACAGCTGCAGTTCAAAAGAAGAAACCTCCAAGACCTACTTATCCTTCCTGGAATACAACAAGAAGAGGAAGATTAGTGCACAGGGCCACAATTGTCATGTTTCACATGGTCCAAAAAATGTACCCTCTTGATTGTATGTGTTGATACCAAGGTTCAAAATCGAGGCATGGCGGCAAGGTCAAGCCTTAAGCCTTACACGCCACAAGCCTTACACGCCACAATGAGGACGTGGCATTTTTTCAAGGCGTGACATAAACCGACAAATTTGTAGATCATATATAGAATTATATATTTATATATGTGTTTTCTATATATTATCTAATCATATATGATATTAAAAGTTGTACAATCATATCAGAAGAAAAATCAGATAGATTATTATTATAAAAATAGTTTTTAATTAAATATTTAAAATATAACTTATAAAAGTAATTTTACAACTTCGTTTTAACTGTGAGTCCATAATGTTTATGGATTCATGAGCTGTGAGTGATGTAATTAGATAAATCTATAAAAGTGTAAAATCTAAAATTAAAAGTGTAAAAAAAAAAAAATTAAAAAAAAAAATTTTCTGAAAAAAAATCATGCCTTATAGTCACGCCTTATAGAACACTATTGGTCATTTCGTAATGGTGGAGAGGCGTCTTGCCTGCACCATATCAGGCCTTTATTCGTAATCACCCACAACTAACAAGATATTACTTAACCACAAGGGTGGTGGGTGCCTGATTGGTTTGGGTGGGCTCCAAAGGTCAAAAGTACCTAGAGGTCCCAGGTTCAAATCCAAGGAGAAATAAAAATCCCCTTGTGGCCACGGAGGTTCAAATGCGGCGACTCCAGGCTACCCACAAAGCAGATGGTCGCCCTGGGATTAGCCAGCTCATATAGCGGGTTGGATATCCAGGTTAATCAAAAAAACTAACAACATATTACCATCTCATCTGTTGAAATGTACTAGGTATTATATGTGAATACAGTAAGAACAGGGTGATCGAGAAGAAAGATTGTGACCTGACCTTTGGAAACTAGGCACCCAAAATCATGCACCAATCACATTTTCGTGGACATCATAAACTTGTTTTTCTTCTCAACTGGCTTCAGGATTTGGAATGAACACAACAGATTTTCGTTCACGCTCATCATAGCACCAGCATTATCAAATTCACCACAGTAATTAGGGGCCGAGAATATAGTTACGAGTTGCCTGTCAGCAAAGAATTCATAACCATCTTCCACAACCTACAAACCAACAAGTGTCATTTTCCAGTTACAAGAGTATAAGTGTGTGTGTGTGTGTATATACCAACCACCAGCCAATTTGACAAACAATGATGACAGATAAATCCATTTGAATTTAATTCTTTTAAGATTTGGCAAAAAGGATATTGATACAGGATTGCTTATATGTCAAGTCAAAAATAATTTTTATGCACCTAGTCCATACCTAAAGTTCCCACCAAAGGTTATACCACAATTTTTATTTGTAGAAAGAAGGCAAATACTTCTGTGAAACTGGCTTAAAGTTTTTCTTTTGGATAATTAACCCAAATAGACACAGACATACATATGCATATATGCATGCATACATGTATACATACAGACAGATATTAATAAAACTGTTACACACACACATCCTTCTGTCCTAAGAAAAATTCAACAGTTCCTTTTATGGAAAGTTCTAAAGATAAAATTTATTGCATGCCTACCGAAACCATCGCAAAAGAATTTAGAGATTGACTTAGATTCATAAGATTCACCTATTTCGTCAAGTAATTTAGATATTTGACTAATAAAAACACTCTCTATAAACCATGTTTCTTTTCAAGTAATGCAATTTCACTACAGAAGAAAACCCAAATCTTAAGAGCAACAAAATCTAAAGCAAAAGAGAGCCAAAAACCTGGTGAGCACGACAGACAAGGTCCAGATCATGCTTTGTTAAAAACTCGGAAACCTTATCAGCACCAAAGGTATAAGAAACACCTCGATCATTCATACCCCATCCTTTAACATCTTTGCTAGGATCTGACCATAGTAAATCACAAAGTAACCCCGTATCAGGGATAGCAGTTGGACGTGGCAAGTTTCTAATTTGATCCAAGTCGGTAAGATCAGGGGAGAGGCCCCCATGCATGCACAATATCTTGTCATCAACAAGAGCCGCAACAGGTAGACAATTAAAACAATCCGTAAAGACTTTCCATAGCTTCACATTGAATCGGCGCTTGCATTCATCATAAAACCCATATATCCTATTTATGGAAGCACATTCATGGTTTCCTCGCAGAAGGAAAAAGTTCTCAGGATACCTGATTTTATAAGCAAGCATGAGACATATTGTTTCCAAACTCTGCTTGCCACGATCCACATAATCCCCCAGAAAAAGATAATTTGCTTGAGGAGGAAATCCTCCATATTCAAAAAGCCTTAAAAGGTCACTGTATTGTCCATGAATGTCGCCTAAGACCATCGGTCAAAAATAGAAGGGGGGAGTGCACATCAGAAATGGCAAAGTTTTATGATGTTATCCAATTCTTTATGACAGTTGAAATAAACTAAACAGAAATAAACTTGCATCATATGGCAAAAATTCATCCCTTCAAACTAAAAGTCAGTATGCGCTTGGATATAGACTTAACAAGGTAACAACAGAATCCAATAATCGTTGGCATCGTATTTCAAAATATAAACTTATAGTGTGCATAGTGTTCAGATTGATGATCAAAAGCACGCAATTAGTGACCACCAGAAATAAAAAAAATGAGCACACTATTTACATGGTTCAACATCTTGCAGGATTTTCTTGTATTTTATTATGTTTGTAAATTATATCCACAAACCTAAGAAGAAAAACCAACATCTAGAAGAATAGAACATGAAAAATATCATCTTTTAAAGTCGTTACCATTTACAAAGTTGTAGAATAGTGTACAATCCAAACCATGCAGCAGACCCACGTACCCAACACACAGGAAGCGAAGAAAATGGTAAGAAAATATAACTATATTTCATTGTTAATACCAATATTACATGAGGGCAATGAGATTGATGATGATGCAATTTACAAATGTCGGGTGCATGCAATGGCAGCAAGTTTCAGTGTCTTAAATGTAGGAAAGTTCTGTTGAGTTGAAGGGTAAATCCTATGGAGAGCAGTGAAACTTGTTATGATTAATGGGGTAAGATGTCGGAATAAGTACATAGATTGAAGACTTAGCATATAATGGAAATGAAGATATGAAAGAAGATTGGGGTGGTATTGATTGAGAAAAAACTAAGCAACAGAGCTTCACATTGTTTAGTATCTCAAACATAGATCTTTAAATGTAATTCTTACAAACATACAATTATACCAAAAGAGGAGTCAGTAAGAGAGACACCATAGATAGGATATTTAGTCATATTCAACTGAACAGATATGTTCTTGAATATGGTGACTACATATACAGGAAAAACTTTGAATATAGGGTATATCCATGTTATCTAGTGTGGTTACAACAGAAATCGGAGAAGAAAAATCTGCCAAAGCGATTAAGCCAAAACCTACAATCACGTCAGGGATAAATATACAACTCCATCTGTTCCACGATAAGAACCCACTTGGCAGAATGTCTGAAATTAGGTATGAATAATAAAATGGGACAGTTTCCTCAAGTTCAGTGCAACACAAATGTCCAATATATCCTTAAATTTTAGAATCACATGAAACAAAATCAAAACAAGGAACAAATCTGATACCCTAAAATTAAAGAGACAAACAAAAATCTTGAATAAACACTAGCGTGCATGAAAGAAACGGATTCAAGAGTACCGCAGATCTTGATAGGGGCTTCGAGTTCAAGAAGATTAGGCTGATTGATAAAGATTTCGCGTGACGCGGAACAGAGTTGCTTGATTTCAGCCTCTGAAAGCTGAACCAACTTCCTAGATTTAGTCGATCGAACTTCAGTTAGGCGTTCGATTATCTTGTCAATGGCTATCGGGTCCATCTGAAGAAGATCAAAACCCTAGCTTTTCTTGTTTTCGATTGGGGAAGAGGTCAAGAAAATCGAAAGACAAGAGATTTTCCTTTGTTCTTGGTAGGTGGAAAGGGGGAAATCTGGGATTCTTTAAGAGTAGGTTAGGGTATACTACAGACAGCAATGCTCCATTTTCCAAAGCAAAGGAGAAGGAGAAGGAGAAGGAGAAGGGAGACTTCTTGTATGTAAACGAAATTTTGGTGCTTGATAATGGGATTGTTTTCAGGAATGACCTTTAAACATCTTGTCAGGAATTGGATTTTTATGCATCTTTTTTTATGTCTAATTATTTCTTCTTTCAAAAATAAATATAAAATAAAATATAGTTTCTATTGTGAAATATATTAATACCGTGTGCAAATTACTACAATGTTTCTAGTTATATTTGAAAAGTGGTAAATATTTAAAAAATAAATAAATGATTAGTTATTCATTTAATCAATATTTATGGTTTTGATCGAGTCACTAGACAATTCATCACATGAGTATATGGAAGATAAAGAAATAATATCGTAACCTTTACAAATATGAGGCAAATGGGTTCATATGTGAAATCATGTATATATGAACTATATGTTTATATGCAAACCCGTTAGTTAGTTCACATGTGGACTATTTAATTGAGTCATATGTGAACTAATTTAACTAATTCATATATGAATCACAAATGTTTATATGTAAATCAGTAAAAATAGTTCATATATGAATTGCATGAGTTCACATATGAACATACATTTCATATATAAATGGCAAGGGTTTCATATATGAGTCTGTTTGTCTCCTATTTGTAAAAATTACAAAACTACCATCTCTATTTTTTGCATAGCCGCAAATTTGGACCGGTCAAAACTGCAATTATTGACCAATCAAATATAGTCTTGACGGTATGAAAGGCTATGATCACTTTTTTACCTCTCAAATATTTACCACTTCTCAAAAACAACTTTTGGAAGGTCGTGTGAGAAGAGAAGTTACGATGAGAAGCGTAAAAAGAGATCTGAACCTTTGATCACTTTTAATCTCATGTCCACCCATGAATTGCACTTTAAAAAATAATTGATCTAGTGCATCTCGGTACACCTCATTAGTATTGACATTCAATTAAAATTAATCTCAGAGTAGAGATTTCTTCTTACACTTGTTACCAATAACTTCACTTCCATCCTTGATCACTTTTAATCGCATGTCATTTATGAATTGCATTTTAAAAGATAATCAATCTGGTGCATGTAATTAATGTTTATTTTCAATTATGATTGATTAAATAGTAGAAATCTCCTTATATATGGATATTTATATGTTATTGTTATTGTTATTGATGTATTAAAAATAAAATATATGAATTGACATATGCTATATGTTGATAGATGTTTAGTTTGACTCAAAATATGTTGATGCTAATGTGTTAGATTTGTATTAAATTTTATTTTTGTTAATGAAAAACATTTGTGTAATTTTTTAATTATATTATATTGGTTTTGAAAAAAACAATAATGTTTTTATTTTTGAATTAAATATAAATTTGAATATAATATAAAAATCTAAAAAAGAATAAATCGATATTAATATCAAATTAATTATTTAATAATTCTCGTTTTTTATGTAATTTCTTTAATTCAATTTTTGATTATACGTTAATTTAAATTTAATAACAAAGTAATTCATTTTTGGTTTAATAATATAACTTTTTATAAAGATAATAATTAAATATTTTATTAAAACTCAATGATTATCATAATTATATTTTAGATTTTCTATACTTAAAATAAGATGTTTATCCTCTAGTTAATTATGTTTATCTGCAATTAGTTACGCAAATTCAAACATAAAGTTTTAATAAGTTGTATTTACATAAAATTTACTTATAATCTTGAATTTTAAATAATATGTATCAATAAACAATACTTTATACATAAAAAATAGTTCTTAAAAGTTTTTTTTTTCCAAATGTTTTATAATATAAGTATAGATTTAGAATTTATGATAAGAAAAAGGGACATTATGAGGTCAGAAGCACATGTGACATGTGGGTGTTTATGTCCACCATCCACACATGCACACAACCCAAAAGCTCTTCAATTTTTGCTTTACAGAAATGCCCTTCTTTCCATACTTTATCACCTTCATATTTAATGCAAAAATAAAATAAAATAAATAAAGAAAAGAAAAGAAAAGAAAACAAAACAGTTTTTGGAGCATGTCACCATATTCTTCATTACCCAATTGTGCAAAAGTTTGTCCCAATTGTTCTGAAAAAATAAAAAGTAATTAAAAATATATAATCAGTTATATTTTCTTCAAGTTTATACGTTGTTTCTCTTTCTTTTAACTATGATGAGATTCGTAACCCTAATCACAATAAAGTTGGTAGTCACGTGAAACTGTCTTACTTCTTATGGTTGAGTTTTCGCTCTGGTGTTTTATAGCGCCCTGCTACTAGATTTCATTCACGGGTCTTACACAATCTATCCGAATCTTGAAATAGAGTTCTAGGTATATTTTTCATGATTTTTGGACCGTACATTTCCAACCCACGTTTTGTTTGATATGTTACCTTAACATGATCGAATAAAATCTTATGATATGCAACACGACTATTAATATTACATTACACAAGATTTCTTTAAACTTAAAAGTTGTAACGCCACAAAACCTAAAATAGCAGACTAACCCAACAACTTTTATCACGACTTGAAACCGTTACTGATACACTGATAATTTGGTCTAAACTTTCATATCAGTATTAATTAAAGTGTTAAAATTTTGAGATATTACAAAGAAATGTGGATGTGCCTTGGATCAAGCAAAGATGGATACATAAAATATAGGAAATGACAACCAAAAAGAGGAGTAGACTTTTATTGGAATGAATTCCCATAAACCCAAACAAGTAGATCTCCTTAGCTTTTTAAGAGCATAAAATCCTTCAAACCAAAAAGTGAACCACAAACATTAGGAGAAGGGGGGGGGGGGGGGGTCACAATTCTTTGTATTGTTTATTTTTTTAGTCATATAAATTTACAGTAACAGTTGATAAACGATTAAAAACGTATTTTATTTATGAAACGTCAGATTTTGCAGGTTCATGCATGATGCATACTCTTTTAACTACAAGAATTGTCATATGGTTAATAAAGTCTATTTATGATGTCGGCTTGTAATACAATTCCACTATCGAAATAGTCGTTGGAATTATCACGTGCATAAAGAATAAAGCATAACTTAAGCATTTAGACCTTTGTACGTTACCACGATAGTAAAACTATGTTCTCAAGACACATGTTTAATCCATCTTCTAGATATACTTGTCAGGTATAAGTTTGATGTTTGATAAAATACACTAACTATTAATCTTGATACATAATTTAATCAAAGTAATTGATAAATTTAATAATTTTTTTTTTATGTTTTTCTAAATGACCAAAATGTAAATTGTTATATTTATTATGAAAGAAAAAAATTATTCTCTGTTACTGTAATTTTTTGAGTTTTTATACTGTTCAGTATTATAATTAAAATGACTAATTTTGGTATAATGTGGATGGTATCAGAACCTGAATTTATGACCTCAAACATCATAGTATTTTTTTTCTAAAACGCTGAAAAACCATATTCTCATATTTCAAAAGGGAAAGATTCGTCATATGTAGCATGAGACTTGATGAGCCGTTGACATGAAAAGTAAGGAAAAGTTAAAATAAGGGTAAAATATGTATATTTACTAAAGATGAAGGACCTTTATAATTTTTAATGGTTCCTTTTTACCGGCAAAATTGTCTTTCAAAAATTAGTTTAATACACAGAAAAACACAGCGAACAGCTTCTTGAAGATGCCAAGCTTCAAGCTCACTCTCTCTCTCTCCCTCTGTGTGTGTGTGTGTGAGAGAGAGAGAGAGGGAGAGGGAGAGGGAGGGAGAGAGAGAGAACATACAGAGATGGAGCTTTGAATTGGTGGATTCTTGTATGGGATAGCCAATAACCGTTAACTTTCTTCCCATCAAGATTCTCCAGTTATCTTTCTTGCTCGGCCGATCTCTCCCGGCCAACTTTTCTTCTTTGCTTTCCGAAGCCAAGAATCTCTTTCTATTTTTCCCTCTATCAAAAACTATCGCTTTCCTTTCCCCATCAGAGATTCCCAGTTTCTTTACTTTCTCAAAAACACAGGCTTTATCAGCAATGATGCCATTGTTCTTCCGCCTATCTCTCTCTGCTACCCTTCTTTTTTCTTTCCCAGAGGCCACTTTCTCTCTCTATCTCTCTCTCTTAGTCCTTTTCATTTTACGCCTTTGCTTTAAACGCCGGTGGCAAATCTATACATACGTTCCCAAACCCCACCAATTATGTCCTCCTCAGGGAACGTCAACCACCTCTCTCAGCCGTGTATTTATGGTATGAAGCTAGAAAAAAGAGTACCTCCTTTTCCGGTTATGGAATCACTTGGTTTTTGGGTTTAATGAATAACATCTAGAAACTGTTTGATGATATGCCTGTATGAATCTCAACTGTAAAATATCCATTAACGGAACATCTCTCTCTCCTCCAGTTAGTTTTTGATTAGCTTCTGGATTTTGTTAATACCATAGTATTGCTAAAAAAGTGCTTCTATATATGAGAAGTTTGTCTTTGAATCAGATAGGTATTTCCATCATGGTGTAGTTCCCATTTTTCACATGTCTAGTGTAAAGTTAACACATTTAATTGTCGACTTGGGGGGTTTAACGCAGGGCATTTTGTTACTTCACACGCAGAGAGGAAGTCCTGGTTTATGAGATGGCTGAGTAAGCTTTTCAAAGGTGGCTCTAATCGTGGGCAGGTTGGAAGTACCCATCGGCCTCCACAGTTTATCGGAGACGAAAGCATGGTTTTGCGTGCTCCTGTTAGATCCTTGGTAAATACCATCTTCCCTTTGTTTATCGAGGGGTTCTTATAGATTTTATAGAGCAAACATCCAAAATAAACTTTCCTTGACCTCTAATGTTTATTGATAGCAAAAAGTCGAAAAGGTTGTCTTGTATCATAGTGCTAAAAGCATGCACTTTTCTTGTTTCCTGAAGCATCTTTCATTTCTAATAACTTCATATAACCTTGCAAACTACTTCACCTTTGATGTTGATCTTGATCTGGAAATCCCACCTGCTACCTTAATATTACCTAGATTTCCTTCTTGATCGGTGTATATTCGAAACTACTAATGAACAAGAAATCTTATATAAAAAGCTCTAAAATTTCATTAGGACAATCGCGCAAGGACTGATAAAGAGAAGGAAGAAATAGATCGAGCAATTGCACTGTCTTTGGCCGAAGGTTTGAAGAAACCAAACGGTAAGTTATTGTTACTAACTAAAAGAATTTCTTCTGTAACTCGCATTCGATCTATTTTCAGCCTTTATCTTTGTCACCCACCCTCTTTTCGCTTGCTATTTGTCTTTGAATGTGGACAATTGATCACAGACAAACGTTCTTTCATTTTTGTTCAGGATACGGGTGGAGACCAAACAATGAAGCTGATCTTGCAAAAACAGTTCAGGATGACCATCATCCGTCATATCCTCCATATGTTCCGAGAGAATATCCACCTGTGGGATATAGGTGCTTACGATTTTTGTTTCTTTTATGTCCTTGTTCGTTAAAGGATATGGATTTTTTCAACCCAAAATGCCGTAATGACTCGATCTTAAGGGATTAATGCCCTTTTTAATTGTCATGACTTAAAAGACATATCTTTGATGGATCTTCTATCCACCTCTCAATAAAACTTTGCAGATTATGTGGTGGCTGCAATCGCGACATCGGTTATGGAAATTATTTGGGATGCATGGGGACCTTTTTCCATCCCGAATGCTTTTGTTGTCGTGCCTGTCGTTACCCGATCAAAGAACACGAGGTAAATTGTTGCTTTCCGTGCTTCCGTTTCCCATTTGCTCTATGATTTGGTTTTTGTAGTTCAAATGATGGTGTCGAATGTTTTCTTATTAGTTTTTTTTTCTTGTTGATTCAAGTTCTCTTTATCAGGGAAGGATGCATACCATAAGTCCTGTTTCAAAGAGCTAACACATCCCAAGTGTGAAGTCTGCTTTCAATTTGTAATGAATCATGAAACACTTTTGTGCATATATAACTAGTTTTCAGTTCTTAGAATGCTAAAATGTAAATCCAACTTTTTTTCTAAAGATTCCTACAAATGGAGCTGGATTGATCGAGTATCGATGCCACCCGTTCTGGTCCCAGAAATACTGTCCTGCACACGAGCATGATAACACAGCGCGATGCTGTAGTTGTGAACGATTGGAGGTATGCTTAATTTTCTGCAGTCTTTCAATCTGATTATGTATCAAATCATACGTCTGATGCGCCTATAATTTGATGTTTCGATATTTCTGTTCCTTAAAGTCTGTGAATGCAAGATATGTATCTTTGGGAGATGGCCGGAGTTTATGTTTAGAATGTATGGAATCTGCGATTATGGATACCGGTGACTGTCAACCGCTTTACCACACCATTAGGGACTACTATGAAGGAATGAACATGAGACTTGATCAACAGATTCCCATGTTACTTGTCGAAAGACAAGCCCTTAACGAAGCTATTGTTGGCGAGAAACATGTAAAGGATCGTTTCTTTTTCTACTTGTTACTTCTCTTTTCCTCCCCTAGCGGATAATGAGGCGAACATCCTTACCGAATGAGTGAGAAATGGCTACTTTTTCAGGGTTTCCATCATATGCCGGAGACAAGGGGTCTTTGTCTTTCTGAAGAGCAGACTGTTGCAAGTGTAAGTTTGTCAAATCGATCTTTCTTCACTTGGTGTATTTGATTCGAATAATCTCTGCCATCTTCATGTTGTTTCGTATCATACGAGTTTCAGATACTCAGAAGGCCAAAATTCGGAGGTCATGCTATGATAGGAATGAGAACCCAACCGCAAAAATTGACTCGAAGATGTGAAGTTACAGCAATTCTTGTTCTTTACGGCCTCCCGAGGTAAAAACTTCATGATCTCTTCTTTCCTGCCAACGTAGCTTGGAGACTAGTTTCTGAAACAAATGTCATGAAACGATTTTGCAGATTATTAACCGGTGCCATTCTTGCTCATGAGTTGATGCATGGCTGGTTACGTCTTAAAGGTAACTAGACAACGTTGATCTTACTAGAAACCGAAAAATATCATCTTTATGAATACATTGATTAACGTTTGTTGAAATGGACAGGGTATCGAAACCTTAATCCCGAGGTAGAAGAAGGTATCTGTCAGGTGCTTTCGTATATGTGGCTTGAATCAGAGATCATGCCGGGATCAACGTCAGCAGCTCCGTCCACATCTTCTTCCTCGGTTTCAAAGAAAGGTGGAAAGTCAAGGGTGGAGAATAAACTGGGTGAGTTTTTCATGCATCAAATAGCGCACGACGCATCACCGGCATACGGAGGAGGATTCAGAGCTGCTAATGCAGCTGTGAATACATACGGTCTGCGTCGTACCCTCGATCACATTCGCCTAACCGGAAACTTTCCCCTGTGATTGTGATTCATTCCTCTGCTTTTGCTCGAGTATTTGGAGGTTTACTAAATAGTCCTTCGAGGATTGAGTTGACCATGGAGGCTTTATGAAGGAACCCAAGTTTTTGTGGGGGTCATTTTGGGGAATACATGCGGGAGACGAGAAATCACAGACGAGTTCTTGATAAATAAGCCTTTTATCTTTCAATAAACTTACAAAGTGTCTTTTTCTATAATTGGTATTGGGGTATTGTATTCGGAAATTAACACACACAAACACAAAAATATGGACTATAACTATTTATTATATAGTGTAGCATCAAGATTGATTTATTGAAGACAACAAACGTTTACCTATTTGAGCCTTTTCCACTCCTATGCTGCTTTTTCCAATTGTTATATTGTCCCTTCAAGAGCTTTAAACTATAACCGATGCATACCGTGAATTTTCCTGACTGTTATCTTCAACAACCATGAGATTAGTACAAGTACGCCGAAGCTTGGCCCCAACACCCATTGGCTAATGGGCAAAACTGTCCATCTCCAAAAACATATACTCGTTCCCTCAGCTCAAGAAATGTGTTGCGATTTCACTATATTATAAGATGTACATAGCAACAGGATTTGTAAATTAGTATCCTGAAAAAGGAACGACTAACGGGTCTTTCCCGTTACCCGTCTAATCTATACAAGGCGGATGATGTTTTTTTTACAGGCACGGTCATAAGCATCGCTGGTTTATGATAATATGTTTAAAAACGGTGCATACCAAGGCTTCTTTGTCATAAACTTCTGATCCTGTTGACTAATCAGCAGCCATGGCTATTAGCAAGCATCTATATCTGATAATACTTGCTTAAGTTTCTCGTAGGTCATGAACACAATGCCGATGCTGGGTACCACCTTGTAATATTCAGGTAAAATTCCTCTGTATAAGCCACGTAGGCCTTCAGCTCGTAGTATGTGCCCAAACGTACCCAACACACCCGTCTTATAAACTTGACCCCAACCAGCTGCTCCTTCCAATTGCATCCGTCGCCTCACAAGATCCAAAGGGAACGATACTGCAATATATAGGTCATGGTTTAAGTAAAACGTTTAACTAAAAGTACGAAACCACCAATATATTTGTAGCTATATAATGGAGAAGTAGGTAACTTTGACTTGTAATATTTCCAAAAAGAAAATGTTGCAATATTCATGGGAATCCCAGAAGGGGAAGTGATACAAACATCTTATAGTATCTTCGAACAATAGTACCAATTCAGATTTGTTTATGCCAATGAAATCACCAAGAAATTGGCGAAGGGAGCCACAGTGAGAAGCATACCTCGAGAAAAGAGGGACGCCTCTCACAATGTTCGACTCCATAAACAAAGTTGGCTAGCCTGTAGTGACCCTACAATAACCAACTGCAAATCTTGAAAGAGCCATGTTAAATGAAAGATGAAGTTATCCAAGCAAGATCTGATGCTGACAAATTTAAAGATAGATTACAAACAATAAATAAGTAAACACTTGTTCTATTGCTTCCTAACTAAATCCTCAAGCAGACAAGTTTGGTTCCCTACCTCTTAAGGGACAGATTGATTATATATTGGTGGAAAGGGGTGGATCCCAACCTGCTTCTTGACAGCAGAAGCATCAAAGATATTACACGGATCGTCTTCTTTTGTGAAACATCAACAGCATTTTTGTTTGATTCAAAACAAAATGCAAAAGATTCTATGACTACCCTCATTTAAAACTTACAATAGAAAATGGGAATGTTCTAACTTCTAACTTACAGTTGACTTGTACAGGACTTTAAGAGCAAGAACTTGTTAAACAGATATTAATCACTAACCAACCTGTTGATGATGCAATTCCTGAAAGACTGCCACAAGCCAAGCCCACCATGACAGTAGAATCATCTGGTCTGTTACCAGCAAATTAACATCACATTACCTCCTCTACAATATATAGAACATGAAAGCACGAAGGGGAGCAAAAGAAAATGTATGAAACCTAAAGTCAAACTGCATTACATGAAAAAGACATGAATAATGCCCAACTGTAATTTTTTTTTGCTCATAATTACCTCTGCAATTGCCAGTAAGATCTTGCAGTGTGGTAAACTGAAAAGCTAATTGCTAGGTTGGGACCAACACCCTGTAAAATCTTGTAGTCAGTAGAGAGATAAGTAGATACCATAAATAATTAACATCAGTTACAGATTAATACCAATAAACAAGCACCAAGTCCCTTATAGAGGCCAAAGATGCCCTCTTCCCTGCTGATGGTATGTAAAGCATGCCATATACCTCTATAATAATTTACATTTGTCTGCAAGACCAAAAGATGAATAAGCAGTAAAGAAAAAAAGAAAACTGAAATCATATACAAACAGGAACATATCAAAGGGGCAATAAAAAGGATGAGTACAGTCGGCTACTCTTGAACCAGATGGTGCCAGAGATAAATAGAAAAAAGGGAACCAGCAAATCACATTTGCTTGGATCATACATATGCAAATGAAGTGCATGCCAAAAATTCTTACCTGCGCTGAAAGACGTGTTCTAATAAGATCCAAAGGATATGTTACAGAAGCGGCAGTTACACCAGCTAAGCCACCAGCTGCAAGTCGTACAAACACATCATTGCCGAAATTTGTCTCATGAGTTTCCACTCCCGACATCTGCTGTAGTAACTGTAACATTAAAAGAGAACAAAGAGAATTATCAAATCGGATGACGGTTAAATTACATAGGAAATCAATATTTAGATGTAAGAATTTCCAGCTAAGCGCATTTGTACCAACATTCTTATAGTGCTCAAATGCATAGAAGCTTATAGATGAGTAAGGCAAACGATGAGTAATAGTGACCAGGTTTCCCTTCCAGAATGCACGAAATCCTTCTTCCCTAATGATACGTGAAGCTTCATGCCATATACTAGCCTTTCTCAAAGTAGAAACATCAGAGTGCATGCCTTGCACCTGCAGAATCAAGGAATCCTGAATTGACAAAGCTAAGAAAGACGAATAAATTAAAAAACAACGTTAAGGTATTTGTTTGATCACAAGCACGCATAGCAACACTAATTTTTTCACATCAACCATATATAGAGTAGCTCTGTTTGCTTAATAGGCAAAGGGCAGATCATTTAGCTTCTCATCACAACGATAGCATAGATCTTGAGCTCTCCCCTGTTGCACCTTGCTATCAAACCTATCGAACACATTGAGCTTATATATACTTCTGGAATTTCAAGTATATTTCTTGAAATTAGAGTAGATGGGACAGTCATCGAACTCACACGTTTTTCTTAAATTTAAACCATTGAACACGAGCTCATACATATTTCTTGAAATCTAGTCATTGTGTAGGTGTCAAACAACGATCGAACATATAGAGTGAGTACAAATATATAATTCTTGATACTTAAAGTACATCAAGTAGACATGGAAGAGTTATTGAATACATCGAGTAAGTGCAAATATATATCTGTTAAATTTAAAGCACATCAAACTACCAACGAAGTTATCAAACACATTGATCTTGTACAATCTATACTTCTATACTATATTATAAAACATTTGATAAAAACTCTTATAAACCATTTTTTATGCATGAAGTACTGTTTATTAATGCATATTACTTAAAATTCAGGATTACAAGTAAATTGTGCGTAAGTACAACTTATTAAACCTCCATTTTTAATTCGTGTAACTAACTGCAGATAAACATAATCATCTATGAGATAAACATCACATTGTTGAGTTTTAATAAAATACTTAATTATTATCTTTATAAAAAATTATATTATTAAACAAAAAATAATTTGGTTCATTATTAGACCTAAATTAAATTATAATAAGAAAATTGAATCAAAGAAATTATACAAAAAACGCGAACTTTTAAATAGTTAATTTGATACTAATATCGATATTTTTTTTCAAAATTTTAATTACAATATCTTCAAATTTATATTTTATTTAAAAATAAAAACATTATCACTTTCTCAAAACCATATAAAACCGTATTATATCAATGGACAGAATAAAAAGAAACAATAAAATCGGGATATATCTTGCTGTATTGTACGAGTAACCTTCTAATACACAAGGATCTTCGTGTTTCCATTGGCATGACAGGGAGTCCACCAAGCAATTTGCACACTCAGATGCACCCTCATTACTACACAAGAATATTCATGATTCCCTCGGTAGAAGAAGAAAAGGAGTGGAGCTGTGCAGTTTGTAGCTGACAACTGAGCAAAAAGCTGAAGACCTATTGATTCTAAAAACTGTGGATCATTCGGACCTTTCATTCAGGTATACAGTAAAAGCAAGACACAAGACGTGTAGGTGCATTGACTCATCAAGTTCCCATAGAAGATCCCCTTTAAGATCAAACAATTCCATCGAATTGAGGTTTGGGGTACGGTCAGTTCACTGGGAGGATCGCTTTTGATGCCACCATACCATAGGGGCTCTAGCTTATGACTATCAAAAAGAGGGGGGGGGGGAGTGCTTGGTCGCTGGGCTTTCCTTTTCCTCGACCAATTCGGTTGTGTCAGCCGGTCTCGCTTCTTCAGCTTGTTCCTGTTAGTCTATTCGGGACCCTGCACAGTTGCACTGCCTTCACCCAAGACCTCCTAATCTTATATGAAAACATGGGATGCAAACATTGGGTTCCTTGTAGAAGGAAATACTACTGCCCCTGTTGTGCATTAGAAGAATGAAGAAGTCACGGAAGGATCCTCCTTTTCTTCAACGCACGTATTTTGTTGAAGAAGGTTGCTATGAATAGATTACCATGTCTTCATTGGAATTGAGCGAAGGGATGGCGTATAAGGAGGTAAAAGGTTAGATCATTAATGAGGTCTTCAATGAGTAGGTTTAATGGGGAAAGTGCTTGTGTAATCATCAGTGAGATCGAGATCATCGTACAAAAAGAGATAAGGGCTAAACGTGCTTAATGCTTGTTTAGTGTTCTACAAGTGGGGGGTAGATTTAACGGAAAATATGTATGAGGAAATAAGGCACAAAAGGTCAAGCATATTTTGATATCTGGGGCAACATTAAGCATACAAACTCAAATTTCCCTTTGGTAATTCGATATGAAATTATGGGAAGAACATGTTTTTAAATGGGAAGGCTTGACATTCCGCATAAAGCTCACATTACAATGACAGAATAAACAATCATGGATAGCTAACCAAATAAACTATGAGTCCACTAAACTAAAACAGAGGCCCTATGTGTTGTTTGTTATGAATCTTATAATGTCATATGTAATTTATGATCTTCTTGTTTTTATTGCTGAGCCATATTTTGGATTTAATCTTTCTAATATTAATGATTCTTGTTTTCAACTAACTTGGAAGGATTCTAGCAACACATGTTCCAACAATCCGTATAATTAATTGGACTCCATTTCCATCAATTTTATATATAATTCTCAATAAAATCTCCGAGAAAGAGGTGCAAAACCTTAAGTCGAAATTAAAATACATAAAAAGGAAAAAGAAACCGACAAAATAATAACCTGAAAGAGTATAGTGAGGCGAGCAAGAGGAGCGGTACAAGTCTTGCTAACGGCGCCGGCCACACCACCGGCGATGAGTTGGTGGATAGCTCCGATCTGCGATCCGTGATGTTGTAATGGCCTCTGGTGACGAGTCACCAATTTATGCGCCGGACCACCGCCTTCCACCCCAACCCTTGCCTCTGTTTGCATATCTCCGTCTATAAAGTTGGTGTGTAAATATAAAAAGTGATAATGTAAGAGCAAAATTTGAACAAGAAACCTATTGATTTGAATTCATCAGTAAAATAACGAAACCCTAGACCACGACACGAGAATGGTTTCACGAATACCGAACGCAGTTCATGGTTTTCTGCGCATCCAGTTTTGGTATTATTGGATATACTATTAAATAATCATAAAAAAACAATTATATTATTATTTTATTATTAACTTTTGTATTCAATTCGTTATGCGAACCGACTAATCCTAACATGACCACCTGCTTTACAGGTAATCTGGACTCGCTGTATTTGAATCTTCGTGATTATAAGAGAATTTTTGTTTCTTTTTAGATTTGAATCTGACACTTTTGACCTTTAAAACTAAACTCAAATCAATCAAACACTAATTTTGTGGTTAATTATATTATTTTTTATTAAAAATAATTTTAGAGCATTATTATAATCCAAATCTGTTAAATAAATGCTTTTTCATATCATATCATGATTCGTGACTTGTAACGTAAAAACAGAATATCTGATGTTGACGTGTGTAAACATAAAATCGATAAAAAATTAATTTAATAATAAAAATAAACCTTCAATAAATATAAATTGAAACATTTTATAAGAAGAAAGTCAAAGACATCTCTTTAAATTGTCCGGAATAAATATTGACCATTTGTTTATACAAAGGTCCAACCAAAATTACATATACAAATTTGCTCTTAAACCTATTTCTATCTACTTACAAAAAAAAGTCACAGATGTTCTAAGCAATCTCTTTACCATCCTCTTCTTCCTTCACTTCACCTCTTCCATTTTCTTGCATTAACATCAATGGGAGAGTGAGAACGAATCTCCAACACCCGACAACTTTACCATCAAGCCGAGTGTCTTTTCGACTACTTAGATGTTTTAAACCGGGAAAAAAAGAACGTACAGTTAATTAGAACAACAAGTTGTCCCTTTGGAATCATTAGAACTCTCAACCTTGATGGTGGTGCCTTTGGCAGGAACAGAAGCAGCAGCTTCCTGGGCAGCCAACGCCTTCTTCCTCACTATTTGATAGATATCGAGCAAGATTGTCTGGAATGCCTTTTCGACGTTATTTGCTTCCAGTGCAGAAGTTTCTAGAAACGTAAGCCCGTCTTTCTCTGCCATTGCTTGGGCTTCACTTTCTGGAATGGCTCTAAGATGGTTCAGATCGGATTTGTTTCCAACTAACATGATGACGATATTGGAATCTGCATGGTCCCTTAGCTCACGGAGCCACCTTTGAACGTTTTCAAATGTTTGCTTCTTTGTTATGTCGTAAACCATAAGAGCACCTACTGCTCCTCTGTAATAAGCACTGGTGATTGCTCGGTACCTTTCTTGACCGGCCGTATCCCATATTTGTGCCTTCACTGTCTTCCCCTCAACCTGCATATCCATTGCTCATAACTAATTATATACTATACAGATATACGTTTATCTATGTCTATCTCTTTTAAAATCAGATCTTATGGACGATCCTTATCTTTAACTAAAAGAACTGCAAAGATGGATTTTTTTTTTTTTGGAAACCTTCTATCTAGCCACAATATTGAATACAACTGTCATCCGACGATGCATGATTCTACATTCATATGAAAAGGGATTACTTGTTGCCTGACCAAGAATGACTAATAATTTCTCAAAATGGAAGTTATGATCAATTGATCTCTGTGGGTAATTTCACCTTTCAGGCACTACAAAAATATGCATCAATCTGACTCCTGAGACCAAGACTAAAAGTCATTTGATAAAAACATGTTTCCTACATCGAAATGCAACATTGTAACAGATAAAACTGTTCTGGTTCAATCGTCAATCGTGATGATCAGACACCATAAGCCAATATCCTGTAATGCTTGCGTGAATATTTTTAACAAGCTTCGGAGAAAGCAACCAACCTGAAGAGTCCTGGTAGCGAATTCAACACCAATGGTGGATTTAGATTCCAAACAGAACTCATTCCGGGTAAATCTAGAAAGTATGTTAGATTTCCCGACACCCGAATCCCCAATTAGGACAATCTTGAATAAGTAATCATACTCGTGATCCACCTTATACGCCATTCCTTCTCTCTGTACTCGTCACAAACCTACAAAATTTGGGGAAAATGGAAAGAGTTGATCACCAAAAGGAACCCATATACAAAAACAACAAACGTATAAACAACAGAAATTCTGGAATCTCTCTTTTCCTTCGAACCCATATGATTCACAAAGATAAATTTGAAACCAGATCCTTCCAAATAAAAAGAAGAAGAAACGAAATTGAAGAAGCTAACCATGCAGGAATGGTCGATGAAGATAAGACAGTAAAAAGAGATTAGATGGTAGGAGTTGCAGAGGATTGAGAGAAAGAGAGAGGGGAGAAGGAGAAGGAGAAGGGAGCATCCTAATTCCAATAGGAAGAAACAGAACAACCGAATGAACAGCAATTTTAAACGGGGGAAACAATCCGGAAAACCCAAAATTATCTCAATTGGAATTTTTCACTAACACCCCCTAAATATTATTTATATTACAGAACCGACCCCCAAACTCTACTTAGGTTTTGCCTTTAAAAAACATTTCACATGTCATTTATCCCTCAACATACCTTTAGGGGTTGTTTGTTTTACATCTTAATAGTTCAATTAAAAGGGAACCTCTGAATCATTAAAAGGTAAATCTTGTTTGGTAAAAAAAATATGTCTTTTAATGTTTCTAAAACCCTCTGAATGATTTTGTATCATATATCTCCCTTAACCATTAAGAGCCCTAATTTCATTGTACACAATTACCAAACAATTATATTTCATTTTGCACTATACCATGAGAGCCTCTTAATTATTTTGCACCAAACCATTTAGCAATTGTCAAACAACCCTTTAAATTAATCATTAAATAAACAAACTCATAGGCCAAAGCAAATACTATCATTTAATAAATATACAACCTTTAACTTTAAAAATACATTTTTTAATACGAAATTAATAAAATATAAAAAATAGAAAAATTGATGTGATTCCATCTCGGGTGTAAACGATTCGAGTTTTTAACAAGCTACTTAAGCTCGAACTTAATAATTTCAGAGCTCGAGTAGATCTCGAACATAAAATAGAACTCGTTTGGCTTAACAAGCCAAGCTTTATAACATTAATGTTCGGCTTGACTCGTTCGAAAACTCGAATCAATTTTTCGAGCCGAGCCGAACCATTCGAGAATACCATTTTTCTAGCCAAACATGCTAAAACATTTATTAATCATACAATAAAAATATATTAAAAAATTATCAATCTCAAGCTGATAAACGAGTTAATCGATTGCGAGTTCAAACCCATGAACGAGCATCGAGCTCGATAACTCAAAAAATATACATTAAAAAAGTTGATCGAACACGAGCCTATCATTAATCTTTTTAACGCCCGACTCAATTAACCTACTACTCGACTCGAATCCGCTCGTTTACACCCTATTTAGTAGCTAGCTAATCAGATAAAAATAAAGGTAGATAAACGGTAACAAATTTTGATTATCCAAAAAACCGTATTTCAACGGTATGTAGCTATCGCATGTATAACATTTTCTCAACAGAACAAGTTTCTTTTACGGAATCTTGTTTGACTTTCTTAAAACATAATTAAAATCGTACTAACATCAACAATAAATTCGGTTATTTTACTTGTAGAATTGGGTTGATGAAGAAGTGCTTGTGTATACTCCTTTTCTATATACATATTTTTGTGAAGGCATGTTTAAAAATGTATTAATCATGACAATGAACATCAACCAAACATGGAGCCAAGATATTGAAAAATAAAAGAAGGTAGATTAGTAAGTAATCAATTTGATTGAAACGTACAAATAAACAGAAAAAAAACTTGCTTTAATTGTAGGATGGATATGTTTAATCTTGATTTTGAATATTACGTGTGCACAAGAATACTTGTGCCAATCAAATAGCCCATAGGTAGTAAGTGTCTAAGCAATCAGAAAATGCTAGCTACATAATAACCTGCTTTAATTGCTTTATATATATATATATATATATATATATATATAGGGGAGCGATCAAATGCAAACCACTYAATTTGTACAAACCGTGCAAACCTCATTCAACCAATCATAATTTTTCATTTTGTTCATTTTTTTGTAATTATGAGAGGTTGATTAATCATTTTTATTGTGGAGGGT